TATTACATGCTGGGCCGTGGGACCTAACATTCCAGAACCGGAGGAAGGCACAGCCTCTCACGTCTGTGGGCCTGTGAGCACCACACTCCCCCGCGGAGCAGGCCTTGGGGCCACGCTGTGTAGTCAGGCACTTCCCAGACTCTAAAGCACGGGTGTCAAACACAAGGCCCGCGGGCCAAATCCGTCCCGCCAGGCCTTGCAATGTGGCCCGCACCGCGCTGTCATCACTGCACTCCGCTGCGTTTCCATCACAATGACAGTTTATGACTGTTCAGTAAACCATTCGGCCCGCGATTTAGGCTGGATTTTAGATTTTGGCCCCTTCTCTGATTGAGTTCAACACCCCTACTAAAGGAAATGGAGTCTGCACCCCATGGACCTCACCACGCCCGGCGCGCAGGCAGGGGGCGCCGCTGAGGGGTCGGTGGGAGGGGCTGGGGAGCAGGGGCCACGTGGGCCACGTCCCACAGAGAACACGAAGCAGCCGAGGCCGTGGCTGAGAGCCTAGCGTGTAGATGGCGAGTGTAAGCGTGTGGCAGGCTGAGGAGGGGGAAGCCCCCAGCTGGGCTGTAGGAGCAGGTCAGCGCAGGGGCCGGCCGGCCGGCCGGGGGAGAGGGGCCCTGTCACTCAGTGTCCCCGGGCTCAGGCGGTGCGGCCCTCACTGCCTCCCGGGAGGGGCTTGCAAGCAGCTGGTGCGAAGGGGGAGGGTGCCAAGGCCATTGACACGGACAGCGCGGTGCCAGGCGCCTGCCTGCCGTGCCACTGGAGGGAGTGCAGGCGAGTGGCCGTCCTGCTGCAGCACGAGGGCTCAAGTCAGACCCCGTCTGGTCTCCCCACCATTCTCTCAGCATGGCTGCTGGGGGCTCCTCCATGACAGTGGACAGTAGCTCCCCATCACCCTCTGGGGGTCACTGACTTGGCTGCTGCTCCCACAAGCACTTCCCAAGCAGGGGTGACCGGAAGTACCTTTAAAGAAACCATGTTTGTACTGGTTTTCGGGAGGAAGGGAGAGGGAGAGAGAGAACCATCGGTGATGAGAGGGAATCATTGACCTGGGCCTGCCGCAGGCCCCTGCTGGGGATCAAGCGGCAGACACATCCATTCAGTGGAATTTGTATGCATTTTCTGGCCGAACACGGAGAAACCGGGACAGTTAATTCAGTTTCCAGCTTTTTAAATTTCCATAGTCTGATGGGCAAGGTGCCTCTGTCCAAATCCGTGCTTTTCGGTGAAACTCCCCCAAGACCTCCTTTGGCCTCTGTGTATCCCAGCGAAGGGGCCACCGGGGTCACAGAGGTCGCTGGGAGGAACGTGTTTGGAAACGGGGGGTGAACATCAATACGTAAAACCCACCGTTTTGGCTACTTTAACGCACACATTTCTGGGGCTCCAGGACGTTTGCAGTGGGTGCAGCCACGACGCTGTGTGGTTCCGGCCATGCTCAGCACCCAGAAGGGGGCCCCGCGCCCTGATCAGTCACCCCCATTTCACCTCCCGCCCGACACCTCCTGTGCTTCCTGTCTCCATGGATTCGCCATAGGAATGTATGTCTTTAGGAATCCTTTATTCTGCATCTAGTCCCCAATTAGAAACTGTAGACTACTGAGTACGTGTGTGTGTGTGTGTGTGTGTGTGTGTGTGTGTTTGAAAAAGAGAGGGGGAGAGAGAGAGAAAGGAGAGGGGGCAGTGGGCGGGGAGGAGTCAGAGTCAGCATTCATGAGCAATCTCTTGGGAATATCCCAAGTGGAAACGGGGGAGATGCTCCTTTCCCAGTCAGAGGCCTGCAGGTTAAGCTGGGCGTCTGAGCTTACCTTTCCCGAGGCCGGTCAGTCCTCGGAGACGGGAATGTCAGTCCTTCCTGAAAGGTGCCCATCGTGCTGAGAAAGGCCTGTGAGCTTCAGAGAGCCCGGGCCACCAGAGAGCTCCCTGTTCACGCCCCAGGGGCCTGTCCGGGCCTGCTCCGCCTGCGGCCAGCGATCGCGAGGACAGCGTGGCTCCCGGAGCCGTGTCTGTGACCGTGCGCGCCGGCCTCGTCCCAGCAAGCACGTCCCTCCGTGGAGGAAGCCCAGGAGCCTGCCGGTGGGTTTAAAATAAAATAACAGCCCCTTGTGTTGGCCAAGCAGACACACTCACCTGTTTCCAACTGGCGTGTCCGTTTCACTCTGGCTGGGGTGTTTACAGCGTTAGTTAACCTGGTCACCAACTTAAACACCTGGGGGATGACCTGGGCAGTGGACTTTGGGGCCTGTTCGTTGTAAGAGGATTTAGAATGTGTACGGCTTTCTTGGTCCTGATTGCAGACAGGAAAGGTGTGCGCTCTGACTTCTGGGGAGACACCCAAGACTCTGAGAGAAACTCTGAGAGAAACCTGATGTCCAGCCGGTCGGGGGCTCCGGGGGAATGGGCTCCGGGGGGAATGGTGGTGTGGGCGGGGCTTGTGATCGCAGACGCCAAGGCTGGGAGGTCACGGTCAGGGAGCGCGCTGCACGTACCCTGAGGATTTTTATTACATTTCCACTTCTCATTCCTTATGTTCCCTGCGCCCCAGCTAACCCATCGGACTGTTCCCAGTGACACTCAGCACCCTGCCAGAGTCACACCCTCGCTGGCTGTGAGGCTGTCTTCTTCCCAGAGTCCCTGGGTCCCTCCCGCAGGCCTCTCTGACCCCCACCAGTCTCCCCACGTGGCAGCCGGGGGCTCCTCCGTGACAGTGGACAGTAGCTCCCCCTCACCCTCAGGGGGTCACTGACTTGGCTGCTCCCACAAACACTTCCCGAGCAGGGGTGACCGGAAGTACCTCCAAAGAAACTATGTTGGTATTGATTTCCAAGAGGAAAGGAGAGGGGGAGATCAACAGGAGAGAAACACCATCCATCTGGTGCCTCCCGCACGCCCCACAGCGGGGATGGCGCCCACCGCCCCAGCCTGTGCCCTGACCGGGAGCGAACTGTGACCTCCTGGTTCACAGGTGTGAGCCACACCAGCTGGGCCAGAACAAGCTTTAAAAAAACAGCCGAACCTCCTTCCAGGCACCGGGAGCCGGCAGGGCGGCAGCCCAGGGCTGCTGTGGCCGGGAGCTCCCGGAGGGCATCGGCGGCAGCTGAGGCGCTGCCAGGTGTGCAAACACAGGGCCGTGCTCCGTGTGGACCGTCAGTCAGCACAGCCCCTCAGCGAGCCGCCTGGCTCCTCCGGCCTGTGTCTGCCGGCCCTCTCCCAGCCCCTGGAGGGGAGACGGGTGAGGGCTGTGGGGAGACGGGTGAGGGCTGTGGGTGAGGGCTGTGGGGAGACGGGTGAGGGCTGTGGGGAGACCGGAGCATTGGGAAGGGAGAGAGCGGCCCTCTCCCAGCCCCTGGAGGGGAGACGGGTGAGGGCTGTGGGGAGACGGGTGAGGGCTGTGGGGAGACGGGTGAGGGCTGTGGGGAGACGGGTGAGGGCTGTGGGGAGACGGGAGCGTTGGGAAGGGAGAGAGCGGCCCTCTCCCAGCCCCTGGAGGCAGCCCTCCCCCCTGGAGGGGAGACGGGTGAGGGCTGTGGGGAGACCGGAGCGTTGGGAAGGGAGAGAGCGGTTGACAGCAGTAGTAAACTGCAGGCCTATCTCTGCCCTCCAGACCGCGGGCCAACCGACCCCCCTGCGCCCCGCCCGCCGCCGCCTGATGGGCCTGATACGGGCAGCGCCCGGGGCGCAGTCCGCCTGGGCCCACGGGGGACCCCGGCCGCCGTGTCCATGCGCAGGGCCCGCGCCCCGGATCCCGCCAGTGCCACGGGTGAGGCCCGCGGGAGCGCAGGGGGGCTGGGACCCCGGGACGGGGGAGGGGGGGGAGGAAGGACTGTCTGGTTTCTCCCGAGGCCACCTGCCCGGGGAGCCTCCGAGTGGCTCCATCCGAGTGGCTCCATCCGACCCGGACGGGCCGGGAATAACTGGGATAACCGGTGCGCCCGGTCCGCAGGGCCTGGGGGGTGTGCCTGGGAGGGAGGCTGGGGAGACGGTGGAGAAGGGAGGGAGGGAGGCAGGGAAGGGAGAAGCCCGCGCTGCTTTCGCAGCTGCAGCCCGGAGGCCGCGGAGACCCGGGTTCTGGGCTGGACTCGCCGGCCGGCCCGCTGCTCCCCGCCGAGGCCGGCCCCGCGCCCCTTCCTGCCTTTGATCCGGTCCGGAGGGAACCGCTGCGCGCCGCGTCCGGCAGACAGGCGGGCGGGAAGCGGAGGGGGCCTGGCACACCCCTGCGAGAGGACGGTTTTCATCAAAACAAACAAACAAACAAACAAGAAGCTCCGCTCGCCCAGGCTGGGCTTCAGCGCTGCCTCCGCGCCCCGGGCTGTGCGCCCCCTCCCGCCCGCCCTCCCGGACCCTGCGCCTCCCAGATGCCACCCCTGTGCCCTCCGGACCCCTGTGCCCCCCCCCCCCAGACCCTGCGCCCCCGAACCCCTGTGCCCTCCCGATGCCACCCCTGCGCCCTCCGGACCCCTGTGCCCCCCCCCAGACCCTGCGCCCCCGGACCCCTGTGCCTCCCAGATGCCACTCCTGTGCCCTCCGGACCCCTGTGCCCCCCCCCAGACCCTGCGCCCCCGGACCCCTGTGCCTTCCAGATGCCACCCCTGTGCCCTCCAGACCCTGTGCCCTCCGGACCCCTGTGCCCTCCCGATGCCACCCCTGTGCCCTCCGGATCCCTGTGCCCTCCCCCAGACCCTGCGCCCCCGGACCCCCGTGCCCTCCCCCAGACCCTGCGCCCCCGGACCCCTGTGCCCTCCCCCAGACCCTGCGCCCCCGGACCCCTGTGCCCTCCCGATGCCACCCCTGCGCCCTCCGGACCCCGCGCCCTCCCGATGCCCCAGCCGCCCGGAGCCGCCGGGAGCCCCGCGGCCGCCGCCGTGCGCAGCCGGAGGGGGAGGCGGCGGCGGGGAGCGCGGGGAGGCGGGACGCGGTCGGGCGGCGCCGGGGCGGGGGCGGGAGCGGGGCGGGGGGAGGGCAGGGGGAGGGAGGGCCGCGCGCCCCGCCCCGGGGCTATAAGGCCGGGCGGCGGGCGGGCGGCGGCGGCGCGCGGGGCAGCGATCGGCGGCTCCGCGCTCGGCGGCGGCGGCTGTGCGCCCATAAGGCTTTGCCTTCCGACTTCAGCTACAGTGATAGCTAAGTTAGGAGGGGACCCCCGCCCGCACCCCGGCCTGCCGCCGTCCTCCTCCTCCTCCTCCTCCTCCTCGTCCTCCGTCCTCCGGCTCCGGGCTCCGTCCTCTCCTCCGGCTCCGGCCGCGCACTCCCCGGGCTCCGCCGCCGGGCACTCCCCGGCCCAGCACCTGCCCCGCCGGCTCCGCACTCCTCCGGCCCAGCACCTGCACCTGCACCCGCACCCGCACCGCGGGCACAGCCATGGCCGCGCCGCGCCAGCAGGACCGCCGGCCGGGATGCTGCGGTGAGTGGCTGGCAGGTGCCGGGCGCTCCGGTGGCCCTGCTGGGTGGGGTGGAGGGACACGGGTGTCCGTGGCTCCAGGTGCCCAGGCGTGGAGGAGCGGCCTGAGGCCGCAGGGGCAGGGCCGGGCAGGGGGATCTGGTGGAGACCTGGAGCCCAGGAATGTTGGCAGCGCTCCCCGCTGCCGGCGAAGGCGGCAGCACCGGCCCAGGTCCTGCCACAGTGAAGGGAGGGTTGGCCTGGCAACATGTGGTGGTTTACCCCCCCCCCCCCCCCAGCCGGTCTCCATAGCCGTGGACACAATTCCAGCCCCGTCCTACTGCAGGGACCGAGTCTGCTTTTGATCTCCCGCCCCCCGTGCCTTTGCAGGGTCCGTAGCCAGCTACCTGAGCTCGGCGAAATTCCTGCTCTACGTGGGACACTTTCTGTCCACTTGGGTAAGTGGCCGGCCGCCCTCTTGCCACACACTTGCACAATGTCTGTTTCCTCTGGGGCAGCCGTGTGAAGCCATCCTGCGGGCGGGTCCTGCAGCGGAAGACATACACGATCCAAACACAGGCTTTTCTGACCAAGTGTTTCCCCCACTTAATGTAGCAAAGGGCAGGATTAACTGGAACAGTAATATGTGTGGTTTGCAAATATTTTCCCCCCCGTTATTAGGCTTAGTGAGTGGTGGTATCTGCCGCTAAGAATGCATGGCTGCCTCAGATACCTCTTTTTCTTTCAAGTTTTATTTTTAAATTTTCTTTTGTTAAATTTGTGTTTCGGCATACTGCCCTGTGAGACTCCAGGGGGATAGGGGAGGACTGGCTTAGGCTAACAGTGGCATCCTGAGGTGAACGTGAAGGAAACGGACCCACACACGTACCTGGGTGACGGACACCCCGGTCCATAAAGCTGTGACCGTGGGCAGGTGTGGTGGGCGCCGCAGGCTGCCTGGAAGCCACCAGGCCCTGAAGGCCGCCACCTGCTCAGAATTTCTCCTCCGCCTCCCCCGTGGTCTTGGAAGAGTCCCTGTGGGCCTGGGTTCTGCCGTCAAACCCCCCTCCCCCCAGGAAAGACTGACCCCAAAAGGTGTTGAATGTGTTTCTAGCTCATGATGACAGGACTCTTTAAAATTAAACAAATTGTTCTTCTTGTGTAGAAGCACCGAGCCTGAGTATATTCTATTCACACCTCCCGTGTGTTTGGTTGAGAACCGTGGTAAGGAGAGAGAATTTCAGAGTACATTTGGTGACGGTTGCTTTCCTTTTACACGGGAAACTTCTGACAAATCACCCCGCAGACAGGAGCACACTATCGCAGGAGGAAATCTGTGCTCTGGGCTGGGCCCTCGGGGAACTCTCAGCCAGGTTATCAGCTCCTGAAGAGACGGCCCTCGGAGGCGGCCTCTGGGGGAGGAGTCCCCCGCCCAGCCCAGACGGGGCCCGCAGGCTGTGAGCCCAGAGGAGTCCGGAGGGGTCCCCCGGCCCAGACCGGCCCGCAGGCCGTGAGCCCAGAGGAGTCCGGAGGGGTCCCCCGGCCCAGACCGGCCCGCAGGCCGTGAGCCCAGAGGAGTCCGCGGCTCCACAGCTGGAGGAAATGTAGTGAAAGTCTCTCCCTCAGTCTGACTCCGTGGTTTGGCTCCAGCAGTTTGACTCAGCAAGTACTAAATATTAACAAAACAAAACAAAGACTACCCAGTGCTGGAGGGAGGAGCTGAAACTCTCACCTTGTGGTCTGGGCTGCCTATGAGGGCAGCGACAAGCCTCACCCCGGACACCGACAGGGCCAGGGGTTACAGGACCTTCTGCTCACAGGTGGGACGTCAGATTTGCCAGGAGGGGGCTGCTGGGTCCCAATGTACATCCCACAGCAGAGTGACAAGCTTAGAGCGTTTCATAAGTGAGTTGAGCAAAGGGAGTTCTTGTGGGAAAATTGTATTTAAAGCAAACCCCCCCCCCCCAAAAAAAAAAAAACCACCAAAATCCTGCAACTACAATCATATCAGGTTGAGAGGATTTTCACTGCTTTCAGCGCAGAGGAAGCGCGTTTCTCTGAGTGATTCTACCTTTTGAGTTTTGTGCCCTCCTTGACATTCCGCCTGATTTTATTACAACCAAGTATGTGTGCCGATGCATCTACATCTGGCTATCTCCCTGCCAGCCCTGCCAAGCCGTGGCTTCCTGAACACGGATCACAGAGGTGCTACCGTAGACTGTTATCCGAGCTTAGACGTGTGCGGGGTTGAAGGCTTTTATTCCTGACTTCATTTCTGTCTGCCAGTGGAGCCATCCGTCTTCCTCTGGACACAGTGTCTCGTACAAAGCAGGGTGAGAAGTGGACTCCGGCAGGGAGCTTTTCGTGTAGGTTAGTGTGGGCTTTGGCGACGATAGCTAGTTACAGAGAGATAACCCTGAGTGGAAGGGGGGCCAGTTGCTTCTAAGTCGCCATCCTATGGCTTGTCTCCCGTCATTCCCCAGTTGTCTGCGTGGCCCAGCTCTCCCTCCCTCTCTCCCTTCCTTCTGGTCCCTGCTCAGAGGTCTCTGCCGCTGCCTCATGCGAAATGTCACCTTCCAGCCCCATCCTGCTTTTACTTTTTGTCACGCGTTTACACTTGACCTCTCCTAGTTGTATTTTTGGTCTTTGTGCTCTGGGATGCAAGCTGCATGAAGCCATGGACCTTGATTTTGGTGCACTTGAGTCTCTGGTGCCTCCGTAGTCCCCTCCACCAGAGAGGAGCTCACTGAGGAAGGACGGTGATTGCTCACACCCCGATAGTCATGGTCTTCTGCTCTGAGTCCACTGGGAGCAGATGGACTTGCCAGCAAATCGTCCAAGTATGGCCAGCGCTATGGGAAGGCAGGGAGTGGACGTAAGGAAGGCATGGGTGGGCTTGCAGTTGTGCTTGGTCAACACTTACTTCAGAGCTTACCCGATGTGGAGGCTCTATGAGCATAAAGCTGCTGCTGCTTAAAACAAACAGGCTTTGGAAATGGGCTAACTGGAGCAGTTTTATTCCTCTCTATCAAGGAAGGGCCATGCCATACAGGGATAAGCAAGAGAGAAAATTGCCTCTTAATAGCACTTGTTTTGGTCTTCTGGAGGAATCTAAAGCAAATTCAGTTGGAAAAAAGATAGGAATAGAAAAACGATAGAAAAAAAAAAAAAGAAGCAATAGTGGTAGAATAATATTTCTTATTCTTTAGGTTAGAAAAGAGGAAATTCTCTTGTGAAGGCAACCTATCATTTGGTGCATTTATGTGCTTTAGCCTTTTCCTTGGGAGCTCTTCAGAGGAAGGGAGGTCAGAATCAAGTACCTCCTCTCTCCAATCCCATAAGAATTTAGCCTGGAAATGTTGTTTCCTGCAGTGATTTCCAGGGGTAGGTTATCATAGAACAGTGTTGTCCTGATTTATGTTAACCTATTAGGAATGGAGCCTAAACTATAACAAGGTCCTTTATAGATTTCTTATGCATTAATTTATCTGATTCATTGAAAAGTTTGTCATGCCACATTTTGCAGTGGTGAATTCCCAAATTCCTGTATACTCTGGAATCCTATATAATAAAAGGCTAATATGCAAATAGACTGAACAGCGGAGCAACCGGTTACGATGACACACACTGACCACCAGGGGGCGGATACGTAACGCAGAGCTGCCCCCTGGTGGTCAGTGCACTCCCACAGGGGCGGGGGCGCTGCTCGAACGCAGCAGTGCTGGCGGAGCCGCTCCTGCTCTGCAGCAGCACTAAGGGTGTCTGGCTGACGGGGAGCGGGCCTACGCCGTCAGTCAGACATCCCCCAAGGGCTCCCGACTGTGAGAGGGCACAGGCTGGGCTGAGGGGCCACCACCCTGCCCCCCGAGTGCACGGATTTCAAGAACCAGGCCTCTAATGAAGAAATAAGTAGTTTCTTTCTCTTTTCGAAACCCATCTCTGTTAAAATGTGAAAATGGCTGCTTGCTATGCATTCACCTCTGGTGCCTTCTCTCATGCGGCGCCAGAATTGGCCCAATACTAATTCCACCTTTCTGATTGCCCCGCTGTTTTACGACTTTGAGATTTGCTGGTGAAGTGGAGCATAGGTTTTAGAACATTAGCGGTACAAAAGGCTTAGAGATAGTTCATTTCGGTCACTTTACAGATTAGGAACGTGGTGGGTTTTTTGGCATTCAAGGCATGCTGCTGTCCCTGAGCTCTGCTATAGGCTCATTCTGACTCGGGGGAGCTACCTCGGGACAGGCCATCCCAGGCTCAGAGCCTGACACCCTAGGAATCAGCTTTTGTCTTAAAACACCTCCTTAGGTCTGGAAACTTCTTTTTCTAGAATGCAAAGGGTTACATGTGTTTCATGTGTATTTCAGTAGCATGTTCTTTCCGGTTCATGTAGCCCTCGGGCAAGAGCAGCTGCCACGGTGCCAGGATGGATGGTCTTGACACGTGGCCGGTGCTCCATCCCCAGAGGACTGACCTTGAAGACGCCCTGAGGTGCCCTCAGATGAGGCAGCGCCTTCCGGAGAATAGGCGGCCGGAGCCGAGCCGTGCGGCCACCCGTTGTTTCTGTTCCAGGGGGACCGGATGTGGCACTTCGCGGTGTCCGTGTTCCTGGTGGAGCTGTACGGGAACAGCCTGCTCCTGACGGCCGTCTACGGGCTGGTGGTGGCCGGCTCCGTGCTGGTCCTCGGAGCCATCATCGGCGACTGGGTGGATAAGAACGCCAGGCTCAAAGGTAAGTGGCCCGGCCGCGGGGCTCAGGGCTGAGCGTGGGCCCATGAGCCAGGCAGGAGGTCACCGTTCCATCCCCGTCAGGGCACGGGCCTGGGCTGTGGTCTGGATCCCCAGTAGGGGGCGTGCAGGAGGCAGCCAATCAGTGATTCTCTCTTATCACTGGTGTTTCTCTTCCTCCCTCTCTCCCTCTCTCTCTCTCTCTCTCTCTCTCTCTCTCTCTCTTCCTCTTCCCCTTCCCTCCCTCCCTCCCTCTCCTTCCTAAATAAAAACACATGAAAAATGATAATAAAGGTGAGTGTTGTCACAGCCATGCCTCTGTATTCACGGGCCAGCATCTGAGCTGCAGGGAAGCCCCTTGGCGGCCGCTGTGCTCCCCGCTGAGTGCTGGGGGTGTGGGGGCGGGGAGGGCTGGGCAGCACCTCCCCCAGGCGGCTCTGGGCCCCTGCACAAGGCCAGGGCGACAGACACTGAGCCCATCGGTGGGGGAGTATCTGGCTGTTCAGACACCCACAGGCAATGATTAACCGCAGGCTTTTCCGAGAACCGCGTTAAACATTGAACGTTTGCTCTGGGTCCTTTCTCCCCGGACTCACTCTGGAGTCTCTGGCGGCTGTGTTTCCGCAGAGGGGTGTGTGCAGGGGACTGAAAACTGCAGATTCAGGAGAGAACATCGGAGTCTGGATCTCGGAGAGAGAGCCGAGTCACACTTGTGTTGAGGACAGGAAGAGAGAGCACATCCACGCTTCCTCCAGGGCAGTCAGACTGAACCCCCAGGCTCTGTAGGACGGGGAGGGCGGGAGGGAGCGTTGCCCCTGAGTGAGTGCTCCACTGGGAGCACCGCAGCCTGGCCGGCTTGTCTGCCGCTGGGAAGGGCTGGGCGGCCATTTGTTCCCTCGCTCATATCCCGGGGCCTTTGGGAAAGTGTCAGGATGCACATTTCCTGTGGTGAGGCTCCACAGACCCAGACGCCGGTGGAGACGTGTTTCTATCCCAGGAAAAGCTCCTTCCACCGTCCACAGGACCGAGAAATGCCCCCGGGGGTGTTTACCTCCCCAGGGCAGGGGGCGAGTCCGGGTAGCTGGGCCAGCGGGCTCCCTCCCTCTCACTGGCCCCTCCCTGAGATCCCTCTGGTCTCCAGGCTGATCCCCTTCTCCATCAGCCTCAGCTCACGCCCCTGCCCTTCTCCTCCCCTGGTGGCCACCTGGCCACTGTCCGTCCTCCCTGTAGCCGGGCATCCCCAGAGCTACGGGCCTCGTCCAGCTGCTGTTGGGTCCTGTGCAGCGTGTGACTGCACCCGTGGAGGAGTCAGACGTGGGGTTCACCTCGGGCTGATTCACACGTGGTCTGTTGTTTGGGGTGTGACGGGGCCTCCCGGGCCGTGCTCGCCAATGGATGGCACTGTGATGAGGCAGCGGCCTGGCGCCCGGCTGCGGGAGCGGTTCATTGGCGCGTCGGCCTCCGCAGGAGGGGGCAGGTGCTGGCTCCTGCGCGTCAGGGACTCGGTGTCCCGCCTGGTCCCCTGCCCTCACCGGTGTCGCCTGTCCTGTGCCGGCTTCCCCTGCAGGATGGCGGCCTCCGCCCCGAGAGAGCCGGCTGCTCCGGGGGGGAGGTGTGGCGGAGACATCACAACAGGGACGGGCCGTCCTCGATGCCGCAGGAAACACGCCTGCCTCCCCCGACACACTCTGCACGCCTCTGCTGTGTGGCCGCACTTTTTAAAAAAACAACAACAACAATATATCTTATTGATTTTGTACAGAGAGGAAGGGAGAGGGATAGAGAGTCAGAAACACCGATGAGAGAAACATCCGTCAGCTGCCTCCTGTACACCTCGCACAGGGGATGTGCCCACAACCAAGGTACACGCCCTTGATCAGAATCCAACCTGGGACCCTGGAGTCCGCAGGCCGACGCTTTATCCACTGAGCCACGCTGGTCAGGGCCGCACTTCGTGTCTTACCGATTGGCCTGCGTGGGGGCCGCTGCGGATCCGTGACCTCCTCCTCTCACCACTCCCCCCTGTGACCTCCTCCTCCTCCCACTCCCCCCTGTGACCTCCTCCTCCTCCCACTCCCCCCTGTGACCTCCTCCTCCTCCCCACTCCCCCCTGTGACCTCCTCCTCCTCCTCCCCACTCCCCCCTGTGACCTCCTCCTCCTCCCACTCCCCCCTGTGACCTCCTCCTCCTCCCCACTCCCCCCTGTGACCTCCTCCTCCTCCCCACTCCCCCCTGTGACCTCCTCCTCCTCCCCACTCCCCCCTGTGACCTCCTCCTCCTCCTCCCCACTCCCCCCTGTGACCTCCTCCTCCTCCCACTCCCCCCTGTGACCTCCTCCTCCTCCCCACTCCCCCCTGTGACCTCCTCCTCCTCCTCCCCACTCCCCCCTGTGACCTCCTCCTCCTCCCACTCCCCCCTGTGACCTCCTCCTCCTCCCCACTCCCCCCTGTGACCTCCTCCTCCTCACCACTCCCCCCTGTGACCTCCTCCTCCTCCCCACTCCCCCCTGTGACCTCCTCCTCCTCCCACTCCCCACCTGGCCCGGCTGAGCAGCCAGAGCGGGGAGCTGGCCTGTAACCCATTCCGCCGGTGACAGTGCGCTTTCCTGGCCATCCACGTGGCCGTGTGGGCATCCGGAGGGCTCCAGCTAAGGAGAGGGATGGCACCCTGGTGTCTGCGAGCCCAGTGGCCCGTGGGACCGGCGGGCTGTGGAGCGGGTGCGGGGCCCGGCCTCGGTGTGGCCCGGCGCTGGGTGGGCCGGGCTGGACGGCAGAGGCAGCCGCGGAGGCTGAGTGCTGTCCCCCCGCAGTGGCCCAGACGTCGCTGGTGGTCCAGAACGTGTCGGTGATCCTGTGCGGCATCATCCTGATGATGGTCTTCCTGCACAAGGACGAGCTGCTCACCATGTACCACGGCTGGGTCCTCGTAAGTCCCCCTCGCCCTCCGCACGCCACCTGCAGGCGGGACCGAGCTCAGGAGCGGGGACAGACAGAAAGCCCCGGGGGGAGGGCGTGTCTGCTTTCCACACGGACCTTTTAATGCTGACCTCCGTGTCTACATTAACAGCCCCGGTCCTTTGTTTTATTCAGGGTGTGTGTGTGTGTGTGTGTGTGTGTGTGTGTGCGTTTTGCCCATAACAGGTACTCATTAAGAGTTGTTTGAATTTAAGTTTTCCTGTGGGTTTTTTTTTTCTATTTGTTTTCAAAAGCTTTTCTAAGAGTTCATAATATAATTCAGTTGTTAGTTTTCAGCCCATTAGAATTAACCTGTAATTTGTTCATACTACATAAGAAATATTACCTATATATATGTTAATCAGTCCTGATTGTGTTCTTCCAATGAAATTGGTATTTTGGGGTGCGGGGAGTGGGCTGGACAGCTCCTCACACTGTGATTTGATGAGCCGCAGGGAAAGAGGGAGACGGGTGTGGGGGAAGGGGCAGCTGCGATGTCCCCATTGAGTCCTCTCCTGTGTGTTCGGGCCGATGTGGTGGAGCATCCAGCAGGTGTGAGGCAGAGATCTTCAAGTCCATCCCTTTTTGTTGATGAAAAGCCCAAGACAGCACTTTCTCCAGAGGAGACATCTGTGGGGGGACAGTAAAACGACCCCATGCTAACCCTTTACCGTAACCGTCACATGAATATTCATGTGACTAGCACGTTTTTTGTATGTGCTACGGAGGGTACGGCCTGGGGAGATGCTGCCTGGGGATCTGAGGCTTCCTGTGTGCAGGATGAGACGATGGGGTAGAATGGAGCTCAAATCACAGTTTGGTTGTTGCCACCAGAGACCGTGTTAAAGGCAGTCAGTGGGGGTGCAGGACCCTGACAGCCCTCCCCTCTGGCTCCTCAGACTTCCTGCTACATCCTGATCATCACCATCGCCAACATCGCCAACCTGGCCAGCACGGCCACCGCCATCACCATCCAGCGGGACTGGATCGTCGTGGTCGCCGGAGAAGACAGGAGCAGGCTGGCAGGTGCGTGGTTTCTCTTCCCACAGTGGGTCACAGTGGGTCCCTTTTACTCAGTGACAAACGGGCTGTGAGCCTTTGTTTCTGGGTCTTTCTTTTTTTAAAAAATATACATTTCTTTTATTCATTTCAGAGAGGAGGGGAGAGGGAGAGAGAGAGAAACATCAATGAGGAGAGAGAACCATTGATGGGCTGCCTCCAGCACGTCCCCCACTGGGGATTGAGCCGAAACCCAGGCACATGCCCTTGGCCGCATTCGAACCCAGGACCCTTCACTCTATCCACTGAGCCAAACCAGCTAGGGCTGTTTCTGGGTATTTCTTAAGGACAAATTGAAAGGATCTTTTTTTTTTCTTTTTTTTTTTTTTCTTACCACATTATCGGTCTCAGAGCAAAGGTTTATCTCCATGCTACCAAGTTAATTTATAGGATAATGAAGAACTTTTTTATTCTGTGCAGACCTGGCAAAAGGGAGAACATTTCTTTTGAGCGGTTACTTTTCCTAAAGTTCTGTTAGTGGTTTCTAAACATTCACTTAATACTTAGCACACTGGAAATGTCACCCGGGGTTTTGTTGGCTGTGCTATGATCACCAGTACTTCGCAGTCATGCTGTGGATATTATTTTTCTCCAAACCAAACAGCAACAACTTAATTCTAGGAGAGATTCTGTACGTTAGTTCCTTCTCCTTTAAAGTGATAACCTCTACCTTCTAATACATTATGTCCGATGGGGTGTCATCTCTGTTACAAATACCAAGGAGACGGGAGAGAATACAGCTTTCAGGAAGCTCAGGGTCTCAGTCCTTCACTAGGAAACGTACACAGCGGCCACAGGAAGGCGGGAGGATGCTTGCAAAGCTTCCTGTCCTGCTGGTCAGTCTTCCCGGGCCCGGAACTCATTCCCCCACCTGCCCTCACACACTCAGACACCGGCGGGGCCGCTGACGGCGCAGGTGGAGGAGGCAGGCGCACCTGTCTGCTGTCCGATCAGCTGAATCAACACTGAGATCATGCGAATCGCAAGCAGGTTGCCCAACCGTCCTGACAGGCGGGAAAGGCGTTCCTCACGCCTCCGCTAGCGTTTCTAGGGCACCGACGGCAGGATTAGCGCTGAGGTTCGCAAACAACGCTGACTGGACCCTGAGGTTTTAAAAAAGATAGAAAGGAGGGGGTGAGAGAAGGAGCGAGACCTGTGGAAGGGCTAGAAGGGAAGAATTGCTGGAATCGCCCTTGGGGTGGCGGGTGATGCTGAGGTGGGGCGGGCGATGCTGAGGTGGGATGGGTGATGCTGAGGTGGGGCGGGCGATGCTGAGGTGGGGCGGGCCATGCTGAGGTGGGATGGGGCGGGCTATGCTGAGGTGGGGCGGGCCATGCTGAGGTGGGATGGGCGATGCTGAGGTGGGATGGGGCGGGCGATGCTGAGGTGGGACGGGCGGTGCTGAGGTGGGACGGGCGGTGCTGAGGTGGGATGGGACGGGTGGTGCTGAGGTGGGATGGGCGATGCTGAGGTGGGATGGGTGATGCTGAGGTGGGACAGGCGATGCTGAGGTGGGACGGGCGATGCTGAGTGGGGCGGCGCAGGTGCAGGGGCCCAGGCGAGGCCTGCGGGCAGTTCTCCCGGAGCTGATGGCCCGGTTTTTCCTCCCGTGGCCACTGACTGAGAGGAAGTCATCCCGTCTCTCCCTGTCACACCGAACTGTGAGATAAGTCCTCTCTAACATACGCGTTTAGGAACATGAGACCTGCCCGTGTTTTCAAATTCAGAGGGCGTCAAAGGACATATTTTGAAAATAATATATGTGATGGGATATATATTTGGGGCAGGGAGATTGGTTTTTAAATGATTTTTCTTTCCCTTATCTGAACTTCTTAACTCCGTTTTGACTCTGTGAAGTCCAAATCTGTAAAAAAAAAAAAAAAAAAAGTATTGTGTGAAGACAAAGTTATTCAGTCTTTAATTTTTTTCTAAATATATAAACAAAACAAAGAAAAGAAATGGTACAAAACTTTGTGGGATCCTTTTGGCTGGGCCGTGAGGAAAAATAACAGGAAATACATGACAGGCTGTTTCTCAGCCAGCTTTCTTTCTTTCTTTCTTTCTTTCTTTTATTTTTTTTAAAATTGAAATCAGAGAGAGAAAGGGAGAGGGAGAGAGCGATAGAAACACCTCCTGCACGCCCCGCCCTGGGGATCAAGCCCACAGCCCCGGCGGCGCCCTGACCTGGGATCCACCCCTGACCTCCGGGTCCCAGGGCGATGCGGCCGGCCTCCAGGGCGTGCTCAGCCTCGTCTGTGTCTGTGCAGGGGTGACTGCGGGGGGGGAGGGTCTGTGCAGGGGTGACTGCGGGGGGGGAGGGTCTGTGTAGGGGTGACTGCGGGGGGAGGGTCTGTGCAGGGGTGACTGCGGGGGGGAGGGTCTGTGCAGGGGTGACTGCGGGGGGGGGAGGGTCTGTGCAGGGGTGACTGCTGGGGGGAGGGTCTGTGCAGGGGTGACTGCGGGGGGGGGAGGGTCTGTGCAGGGGTGACTGCGGGGGGGGGAGGGTCTGTGCAGGGGTGACTGCGGGGGGAGGAGGGTCTGTGTAGGGGTGACCTCGGGGGGAGGAGGGTCTGTGCAGGGGTGACTGCGGGGGGGGGAGGGTCTGTGCAGGGGTGACTGCGGGGGGAGGGTCTGTGCAGGGGTGACCTCGGGGGGAGGGAGGGTCTGTGCAGGGGTGACTGCGGGGGGAGGGTCTGTGCAGGGGTGACTGCGGGGGGAGGAGGGTCTGTGTAGGGGTGACTGCGGGGGGAGGAGGGTCTGTGTAGGGGTGACTGCGGGGGGGGGGGAGGGAGGGTCTGTGTAGGAGTGACCTCGGCGGGAGGAGGGTCTGTGTAGGAGTGACCTCAGGGGGAGGGAGGGTCTGTGCAGGAGTGACCTCGGGGGGAGGGAGGGTCTGTGTAGGGGTGACTGCGGGGGGGGGGGAGGGAGGGTCTGTGTAGGAGTGACCTCGGGGGGAGGAGGGTCTGTGTAGGAGTGACCTCAGGGGGAGGGAGGGTCTGTGCAGGGGTGACCTCGGGGGGAGGGAGGGTCTGTGTAGGGATGACTGCGGGAGGAGGGTCTGTGCAGGAGTGACCTCGGGGGGAGGGAGGGTCTGTGTAGGGGTGACTGCGGGGGGAGGAGGGTCTGTGTAGGAGTGACTGCGGGGGGAGGAGGGTCTGTGTAGGGGTGACTGCGGGAGGAGGGTCTGTGTAGGGGTGACTGCGGGGGGAGGAGGGTCTGTGTAGGGGTGACTGCGGGGGGAGGAGGGTCTGTGTAGGGGTGACTGCGGGGGGAGGGAGGGTCTGTGTAGGAGTGACCTCGGGGGGAGGGAGGGTCTGTGTAGGAGTGACCTCGGGGGGAGGAGGGTCTGTGTAGGGGTGACTGCGGGGGGGGGAGGGTCTGTGTAGGGGTGACTGTGGGGGGATGGAGGGTCTGTACAGGAGTGACCTCGGGGGGAGGGTCTGTGTAGGGGTGACCTCGGGGGGAGGAGGGTCTGTGTAGGGGTGACTGCGGGGGGAGGAGGGTCTGTGTAGGGGTGACCTCGGGGGGAGGAGGGTCTGTGCAGGAGTGACCTCGGGGGGAGGGAGGGCCGGCCAGGCTGGCTCTGGCGAGGGGAGCTCACTGGCTGCAGTCCGCCAGCGGCCGGGGAGGGAAACCTTGGCCCTCTCCTCAGGCCTCACCGGGATCGTGTTCCTGGAAACGGTGCTCGGAACTCCCAGTGCTGAGGCCGTTGGCTCTCACCGTGGGTTTCCGGTGCTGTTCCCGCTGGATGGCAGCGATCAGCGACAGCAAAACGGGGCTAAAGAGCAGCAGAAAGGCCGAGGAGGAAGCGGAGCGAGGAGGGAGGGGTTCCCGCAGCTCTGAGCTGTCTCTGCCCAGAGCGGCCGCCTCAGGCAGGAGCCAGGCATTTGGTGCCGAGTGGAGACTCAGGAGTCCAGAGGGCAGGGTGGTGGGCGCTCTGAGCGGGAGTGAGCGAGTGTGAGCGGGTGTGAGCGGGTGTGAGCGGGTGTGAGCGGGTGTGAGAAGGTGTGAGCGGGTGTGAGCGGGTGTGAGAAGGTGTGTGCGGGTGTGAGCGGGTGTGAGCGGGTGTGAGCGGGTGTGAGCGGGTGTGTGCGGGTGTGAGCGGGTGTGAGAGGGTGTGAGAGGGTGTGTGCGGGTGTGAGCAAGTGTGAGCGGGTGTGAGAGGGTGTGAGAGGGTGTGTGCAGGTGTGAGTGGGTGTGAGAAGGTGTGAGCGGGTGTGAGAGGGTGTGAGTGGGTGTGAGCAGGAGTGAGCGGGTGTGTGCGGGTGTGAGCGGGTGTGAGCGAGTGTGAGCGGGTGTGAGAGGGTGTGAGAAGGTGTGAGCGGGTGTGAGCGGGTGTGAGTGGGTGTGTGCGGGTGTGTGCGGGTGTGAGCAGGTGTGTGCGGGTTTGAGTGGGTGTGAGCGAGTGTGTGCGGGTGTGAGCGGGTTCGGGTGTGAGCGGGTGTGTGCGGGTTTGAGTGGGTGTGAGCGAGTGTGAGCGGGTGTGAGAGGGTGTGAGAAGGTGTGAGCGGGTGTGAGCGAGTGTGAGTGGGTTTGAGTGGGTGTGTGTGGGTGTGTGCATGTGTGTGCGGGTGTGAGTGGGTGTGAGCGGGTTTGAGTGGGTGTGAGCGAGTGTGAGCGGGTGTGAGAGGGTGTGAGAAGGTGTGTGCGGGTGTGAGCGGGTTTGAGTGGGTGTGTGTGGGTGTGTGCGTGTGTGTGCGGGTGTGAGCGGGTGTGAGCGGGTGTGTGCGGGTTCGGGTGTGAGCGAGTGTGAGTGGGTTTGAGTGGGTGTGTGTGGGTGTGTGCGTGTGTGTGCGGGTGTGAGCGGGTGTGTACAGGTGGAGGGGAGGGATGTGTGTAAAGAGGACAGGTGAGCTGTGTGCTAGCTGCTCCCATTCCCTTTTCCCATTGTTTATTTCTTTTTATTGCTGACTGGATCAAATGTCCCCCCATGCTTTCCCCCTCCATCAACCCCCTCCCCCCAGGCCTTCACCGCACTATTGTCTGTGGCTGTGGCTGTGCCTGTGTGCACACAGGCTGCTTCTTTCTTTCTTTCCTTAAAATATATGTTTTATTGATTTTTTACAGAGAGGAAGGGAGAGGGATAGAGAGTTAGAAACATCGATCAGCTGCCTCCTGCACGTCTCCCACTGGGGATGTGCCCACAACCCAGGTATGTGCCCTTGGCCGGAAGCTGGGACCCCTCAGTCCTCAGGTCGAAGCTCTGTCCACTGAGCCACACCGGTTTTGGCTGCACACAGGCTTTGGTTCATCTTTTCCCGGCCCCCCCCCCTCCTCCCCTCAGATCGGCCAGTCTTGAGTTCAGAGGAGTTTTGAAGCCGGGAACATACCCTGTGTAAAGGCAGGAGAGCGTGTCTGTGGAGGCTGAACATTTTCTTGTAGAATCCGGGGCATCTGGCCACAGCAGAGCCGCTGCCGCCGGCTCAGAGGCTGCAGGACAGGTGCCGGCTTTCACGTCCGTGCTGCCCGCTCACCGGCTCACTGGTCTGTCCAGGCGGGAGTCAGGGTCCTATTGAAACAGCCCCTGTGCCCCTCAAACCTGTTTAAAACGCACGCCCCTCTCATCAGACTTCTTGCTCCATCTGTGGCTCCCATCCCTGCCCCGTCCCTCTGCGGACCTCTCTGCATTAATAGCTCGGGGCTCTCTCGCCCGCCATCCTAACGAAGCCCCTGCTGGCTGGCTGGGTCCAGTATGGCGGACAGACTTCCTGTTTGAACTCTGCGGACGAAAAACTTTGATTTCGTGTGTGATGTGTACAAACCCGCGGGCTGCTATTTGCTCAGCAAATCTGCCGCTGTGAGCGATGAGTCGGTGGCGTGTCACGCGCCCTGCCGGACAGCCCGGGGCTGTTTGATGTCATGTTCCGTGTCACAGCTGCCGAACACGGGCAAATGGGTTTTCGATGAGCACACACTCATCTGTTTGCACAGAGCGGACGTGTTTGCGCACCGGTGACCGCTGCTTCCCAGCCTGGGACCCGCGACGCGATCAGGCCTTTAAAGAAGCTGTTATCGGACTCATTCTGCCTCCGAAAAGCAAACGCTCTGACGCCAGGTTGCACCCGGGCGGGAGCTCCCTGCTGCTGGCCGGCTGTGCTCTCCGGCCTGTCTTCAGGGAGCCTGGGTCCGCACGGCCGAGGGCTCAGAGGGGCCCAGCGCTCTGTCCGCGCGGGAGTGGACGTGTGTCCGTGGGGCAGCGGGAGGCGGGCGGCCTCCTTAACGGGGTCCTGGTTGGGCTCGGAGAACCGCCTCTGCCCCCGGCGGCGGATGGGCCGGCCTCGTTACTGTCCTCTCCTGAGATAGAGAGGGCCAGCGGTCACTTTCTTGACTTCCCTCCTCGCTCCTCTCGCCCTCCCCTCTGCCTCAGCCTCATTGCCATGGTCATGGCCCCGGCCTTGTCGCCGGCACCAACTCCTCCCTCTGCAGTCTGGGCCGCAGGCATCCACTCTTCCACGGCCACCCCGTTTTCCCAGCTCGCGCCTCCGAGACCCGGCCCAGCATCCTCCCGCCTGGATGCCTGGTCGGTGCCCGCCCGTCATCACTCCACCGTCCTTCCCTGTGCTGCTGACCCCGCTGTCCCCCCTGCCACCAGCTCCAATGCCGGGGCACATGGCCACCGCTCGCCGGCCTTTCCCCCTGTCCCTGTCCTTCCGTAAGGCCCTGGGGAGTCCTCCTCTCACAGAGAACACCCAGCCTCGCTCACTGTTCTTAAAGTTCACGGCCATCGGGTGCCAGTCGGCCCTTCCACACCGTTTCCTCTGCTCCTGCTCCTCCCCTTCCTCAGGGGGATTCCGTGCTTGTATTTTACGGGAAAATGACAGAAGGGAGAGGAGACGGCCCTGTGCTCCCAGCAGCACTCGCTCTTCCACCCGCGTGACCCGGCCGTGGCCCCGCTCCTTGTGCTGCCCCGGGGCCGGACGCACACGCGGCTCCTTCTCGTCCGCTGTGCCGTTCCGTCAGCACAGACACAGGCCGCCATCTTCCTCCGCTTCGTGCCCCTCCCTGTCTTGCTAGCCGGTGTGGCTCAGTGGATAGAGTGTTGGCCCATAGACTGCAGGGTCCTGGTTAGGTTCAAGGGCCAGTACCTCGGCTGCAGGCTCCATCCTGGCCTGGTCAGGGCTCGTTCCTACTGGAACCAAAGTCTCCAGAACCAACGTTGCTTCCTTTGCCTGAAACGGGATTCTTCTGAAGAGCGATCCTGCATGCTCTTCGTAGTGCCGAAGGCCCAGCTCATCGCAGGCATTTCATCAGCGTTTATGGGCGGAGGGGTGGGTGGGAATGAATGGAGATCCACAGCCGTATTAATTTTGACAGCTGTCTTAGACGATTTCCCACAATCCCAAGGGACTCATGAATTCTGAAGAACATTCATGATGACTTGATCCAAACCTCAGACACTTTTCTAAGGAAACGGTTCTGTCGCTGAGAGAGTGCCTGTACAGCTCTGCCCGCTGGGGGCCTGCGCGCGGCTCCGGAGGGGGGCCGAGGGGAGGCGGCCTCCGCGGTGGGCGCAGACTCACCGTCTCTCGCCCGCCCCGCAGACATGAACGCCACGGTCCGCAGGATCGACCAGCTCACCAACATCCTGGCGCCCATGGCCGTCGGGCAGATCATGACCTTTGGCTCCGCGGTCATCGGCTGCGGCTTCATCTCCGGGTGGAACCTGGTGTCCATGTGCGTGGAGTACTTCCTGCTCTGGAAGGTTTACCAGGAGACCCCCGCGCTGGCCGTGAAGGCCACCCTCAAGGCGGAGGAGGCCGAGCTGAAGCAGCTGAACGTGCACAGAGGTAACCCCGCGCGGCGGCCAGCCCTTCACTCAGACGCCCAGGCCGTCCATGGCGGGGAGACAGACGGCTTTCATTCACATCAGCGTCCTCGCCCCCGGAGCCTGCGCGAGGCCACCCGTGTCCCTCCGGCGGGCGGGGCACAGCCCAGGCTTCTGAGCGTGTGAGGAAGGCTCTCTGGGCGGCCCCGGCCCTTTTCCTCCCTGGGAGAGTGGACATCACGAAGCAGCTAGCTCAGAGGGCTGGGCACAGCAGAGCCTGGAGGGGGAGGGAGACAGGAGAACAGGATTCCTAGGCGTCCCCGCCCGGAGGCGCCGTGTGGGACGGTGGGAAGAGTGAGGCCTGAAGGCGGCTGTTCCCCGAGCGGAGGAAGGGGTTCCGGACAGTGGAGCCCCAGCAGGCCCCCCACACCCGATGCCTTGTCCGCCCAGACAGCCCCCGTGCTGTCAGATGTGGCCTGAGAGGCCGTGTCCTCCAGAACCGAACACGTCTTCTTCCCCCCAAACCGAGCTCTGAAGAGGCGTCCTCCGCCCCTTCTCCCGCCCAAGGCCCCGTGCAGCACGGGCGTCTCATTCCTGCCCGTCTCTCCGCGTTTCCCTTCGGAGGGAGTCGCATTTCAAAGAGCTGGTGCGATCGACCGGGACCACAGCACCCGGTTCAGGCCACGCACTTGCCTCTGGGAGCGGTCCCCGGGCCTGGTGCTCCGATGAGCAGAGGACATGCCTGTGGTGCTGTCGTAGCCGAGGTCCCCAGGGGAGGGGAAGAGGAGAAGGAAAGACTGAGTGTAATAACGGCCCCCGGCCCCGGCCCCGGCCTCTCCCCTCAGTGCGCGCTGTGTTCTGTCCACAGAAGCTGAGCCCAAGCCCCCGGAGTCCGCGCACCTGATGGGGGACCGGGAGCCGGCGGTGCCCGCGCGGGAGCCGGAGCCGGAGCCGGAGCCGGGCTGCGCCGAGCAGCTGGCCGAGCCCTTCCGCACCTTCCGCGACGGCTGGGTGTCCTACGCGCGGCAGCCCGTGTTCCTGGCCGGCCTGGGGCTGGCCTTCCTCTACATGACGGTGCTGGGCTTCGACTGCATCACCACGGGCTACGCCTACACGCAGGGCCTGAGCGGCTCCGTGCTCAGCCTGCTGATGGGCGCCTCGGCCGTCACCGGCATCCTGGGCACCGTGGCCTTCACCGGGCTGCGGCGCCGCTGCGGTCTGGTGCGCACCGGCCTCATCTCGGGCGCCGCGCAGCTCTCCTGCCTGGTGCTGTGCGTGGCGTCCGTGTTCGTGCCGGGCAGCCCGCTGGACCTCAGCGTGTCCCCCTTCCAGGACATCCGCTCCCGCTTCATCCAGGCCGAGCCGCTGCCCGCCGCGCCCACGGGCGCCCCCGGCCCGCTCGCCCCCACGGCCAGGCCCGCGGCCAACGGGACCACCCTCGCCGCCCCCGCGCTGGAGCCGGGGCTGAGCGCCGAGTCCGTCCTCTCCGTCAGCCTGCTGTTCGCGGGCGTCATTGCTGCTAGGGTCGGTGAGTCCGCGGGGGGCACAGGGTGTGTGTGTGGGGGGGGGGGGGGCCCAAGCGCCTGGCTCAGGGCTGAGCATCGCCCTGTGAACCCCGAGGTCTCGGTTCCATCCCCTCAGGGCACAGGCCCCCGCTGGGGATCCAGCCACAGGAGGCAGCCCATCCATGATCCTCATCGTGGCTGTTTCTCTCTCTCCCCCTCTCCCTGCTTCTCTGAAACCACTAAAACGGTCTCTGAGAATAAAATAAAGTGCCTGCAATATGGGTTCAGAGAATTCACCAATATTCCCTGAGTGTTGATGTAAGCAGGATTCACTGTTCACCCTTATGTATAATGCAGTCTTTCATGACGACTTTTTATAGTTTAAAAAAGTATATCTGTGTTTTTATAAAACATGGTTAGAGCTTGAATTTTTTTTTTTTTTTCCTAAATGGGTATTTTAGGTATTGCTGCTTTACTGTTACTAATTAACTCCTGAAAAGAGATTGGCGATGCTAATTATGTTGTCTGTGTGGCTATGACTCTCCCCACAGGGCTGTAATTTGGAGAATGTTCCTATGGTACAAGGCAGAAAGATAAGTAGCTAAGTTGGTGGGGGCATTGGTTTAAACTTTGAAAAAAGTCGTGGCGGTTAGGGAAAAGATCGTCCACAGCTTCCTCTAGCCGGTGTGTGTTCTATACTTTGCCAAGCAAATGGGTTTACAGCTCTGGAAGGCAACCTAGGGTACAGACTTCTTACAGAGCAAAATGTGAGTAATCATTAATAGAGTGCCGATGGGTTATTCTGGAAATGAACCGTATTTTTATCTTCTGGGACCAAGCAGTTTATTAATTTATCAGAGACATTAATATTCCAAGTGAGACAGCTTTATTGCAACCCAAGCAGTAAAGGCAATAATGGCTTAACGTGTCCTTACACTGCAGTCGTGACAAAATGTGGGTCAGTTCATTTAAACTGAAAAATGCCAGCACCGTCACGCTGTGCTCGCCGAGGCGGAAACGTGCTGGGAAGCGTGCCCGGGGGCGGTGTGGTTGTGTGAGCACCAAGGAGCGCCTTCCCCAAGCCTCGTGGCACAGCCTGCTACCCACCGGGCTGCACGGCACAGCTTGTGAGCCGCAGCCTGCACGCCTGCACAGCGAGCTGCTGTGCCAAACGCCAGATTAAGTCCAGTTCCAGAGACGACATGGTAACCTGAGACATGCCGACACCCTCTCACAGCAAACTTTTATTTTTTACCTTTTTTATCGATACAGAGAGGAAGAGGGAGAGAGAGAGAGAGACATCAGTGACGAGAGAGAATAATTGATTGGCTGCCTCCTGCACACACCCTGTACCCCCCACCCCACCCCTCTGGGGATCCAGGAGGGAATACAACCGTGACTTCCTGTGTCATAGATTGAGCGACACTCAAACCACTGACCCACACCGTCCGGGCAAACTTTTTTTCTTAGTAAGTAGAAAGAGAACATTTTAAAATAAGGAGAAAAGATTGGTATAGTGAAAACATAAACCAGTGACATAGTCCTGTTTGGTCATTATCAAGCATTATTATCATAATAACTGAGCATGCTGTTTTCTGCAGCCCTCAGTGCGATGTGTGTGTTTACCCCAGCATCATCCGAGCGCGTGACTTGTGTCGCCACCGAGTGACCATGGCTGTGATGTCACCAGGCAATAGCAATTTTTTTTAGCTCTAGTAGAATCTTGTGGGGCCGCCATTGAACATGTGGTTTGTCATTGACCATAACATCATGGTTCGGCACATGACTGCACTTAGGGTGGGATTAGGTGTGTGATTTCAGAGCTTTGCTTTCATAGCATGAATAATCACAGAGGGACAGAATTAAGAGGGTTGTAGAGGCCGCTTATTTTTTGTCGGGTGGCTTTAATACTGTAAATACCATTTCTTAGAGCCGCCAGTAACCCAGTACTATTGCTCAATGAAAAATAGTTCTCTGAGGCAAGGCCATGAGCAGTGTGCACATGCCAGCTTTCAAGTAATGGGGCTGACCATGTGATTTTTCCACGTGTGAACAGATTTTCAACCTATAAATCTGAAATCCAGGGCTATAAAGTCTAGGGATTGACCGCCTCTCAAACAATATGCTTCATTCCAGGCCTGTGGTCCTTTGACTTAACTGTGACACAGTTGCTGCAAGAAAACGTCGTTGAGTCGGAACGAGGCATTATAAACGGTGTGCAGAACTCCATGAACTACCTTCTCGACCTCCTGCACTTCATCATGGTGATCCTGGCCCCCAACCCCGAGGCCTTCGGCCTGCTGGTGCTCATCTCCGTGTCCTTCGTGGCCATGGGCCACATCATGTATTTCCGGTTTGCCCAGAAGACCCTGGGCAGCCAGCTCTTCGCCTGCGGGCCCGTGGAGAAGGAAGCTCCGGACGAAAGCCAAGCTTCCACGTCCGTGGTGTGAGCCGGTCCCGGCTGGTCCCTGTTACTAGCCCATAGGGCGCGCTTGTTCTGTGCTTCACGATGCCCTTCCGTGGCCCGCATCTCTCTCTGGTTTCCCCGCGACCGTGTCTCCCAGGCTAAGAGCTGCTTAGGGCACCTCCGTCATCTGGTTCGCTTCCCTTCCATGTGAGGGCGGGAAGAAATAGGACAAGGAAAAAGTCTAAATATGGAGACCCACCTGGCACACACACTGATTTCCCCCTCTTTCTCCCGAGTAGAGAACATTTTCCGTAAGGGAGTGGCGAGCCAGGTGAATTAGGTTAATTTTTGGCAGATATTTATTCTCTCCAGTAGAACTCAGATGTCAGTTTGTTCAAGTCCGGCTGGTTTACTTTTCTTTGTATTCTATTCCAAAAGTCTCATAACCAGTGTTATCCTCAGGGGTCCCGTCAGTCTTGAGGAACTTATAGAAACGTGGAAAACAAGGTATTTCAGGAGAATTCTCTAAGAGGGTCACGGAGGAACTTGAGAGAGCGCCTCGGTATTGTTAACAGAGAGGGCTGCATATACCGCATTAACCTTCGCATCACTCTGTGAGACACTAACCGCTGCAGGTAGATTTGTAACACTGAACCCATAATGACCGCCACCGCCCACCGTCTGGCCACGCAAACACGAAGCTTGAAAGTCACCCCGCAGGGCCGAGATCTGGAGTAACTCCCACCACCCTCTGACCTCTCTCCGCCCCGAGGGAGGCTGCTGGCTGCCCGCAGGCGCGATGGAGGAAGCAGGCCCCAGGGGAAGGGTTTTGTGTTGTCGATCACGTGACTTGTCCGGAGCATGGGGGGAAGAGCATGTCCCCCTTCACTGATTGTGCCCAGGAGCTGTTTGTACCCAGGCGAAGAGCAAGACTGTCCCTACATGAATTCCTTTCTCGTGTCTCTGAGAAGCAGGGGGGGCGGGGGGCGGGGAAAGACGTTGTATATATTTTTAAAAACTGTCCGGCGAGTCCTCTTGCAGCCTGCCGGCGCCCGCAGGCTCTCTGCCTTAACGTTCATGCACTTTCGTGGGGACGGCTGCCGTCGCTCGGAGCACTTTCCTGATCCTTGAGGTCGAGGCTCTCTCTTCTCCTTTCCAGGGTATGTCATGATTTGCTACATTGTAAAATCTTTGTAAAATATTTCTATATAAAACTATTTTTAAAACCTTCGTGGCTCTGGCCTCAGCTGTGTCCTTTCATTGTTTTACAACACCGTGTTTTGTCGCCGGTGCTCCGTGCCGATGCTGTGTTTTGGTCTCTGAGAAGGGCCCAGCCTCCCAGTGAGTCCTCACGGCAGTGGCTCTGCTGTGCCTCGGGCAGAACGAGGGAGCATGAGGCCGCCCGCCTGCCTGGCCCTGGAGGAGCCACGGGGAGCTCTCCGAGCTCCCTGTTCTCTTCCATGACCTGGGGACGGTAGCATGAAACCAACTCTGCCTGCCTCCCGCTGTCCTGCAGAAGCACTTTGGGGACTGGGAGACTGGCAGTCTTATTACTACAATAGAAGCGGAGTCTAACTCATGCCAGTTAAAACGGGATTCTGCCCAGGAGGTCACGGTTCCACTCTCGGCCAGGGCACAGGCCTGGGTTTCGGACTCCTTCCTCAGCAGGGGGCGTGCAGGAGGCAGCCGGTTCATGATTCTCTGTCCTTATGGATGTTTCTCTCTCCCTTCCTCTCTAAAATCAATAAAAAGTAGATTCCTGCTGGTCAGCCCAAGAACAGAGCTGCAGTCCCTAGTCAACACGCTCGCTGATCGGTGCCCCCACCTACGGGTCCAGGTGCAGCTGTGACTCACAGGGTCAGAGGCGCCTTTTCTTCCCCCCGAACCGGGAACCTGGGAACCTGTGGCCTCACCCGCAGCCACTGATCTGCTGTGACTCCTGAACCCACCGCAGATGCCTCTGCTGGGCTGCTGCCGCCTGGAGCCTGGAGCCGGCTCTGGCTCCGGGGCGGAGCCGGGCTGGAGAGCCGCCCTGAGTGTGGGCAGCTGCGGCCCAGGGCCCGCGGCCTTGTGAGATGAATAGGAACAGGGCAGCCAGGGGAGGCGCGGCTCCTGGGCGACCGTGCCAGGCTGTGGGCTAGGGCGGACGGAGGGCTGTGCAGGGGAAGGAGCGGACGCTGCGGAGCGAAGAGGAGGCTTACAGCCGCCCCTCTCTGGGCCGAGTGCGCCCAGGGCAGGAAGGGGAGGGGCGGGCAGGGGAGCTGCTGGGCAGGGCTTTGGCTGCGGACCCCCGAGGGCACAGAGGAGGACGGGCAGGTGATGAGGTGGGCATCTCCCGGGGGTGTTTCTAATGGGAGGACGAACTCAAAGGCGTGCAGGGCCCGTCAGCTGGTCCAGACGAGCAGTCGGTCGGATGCAGGAAAACAGTCTTTCCGCTCACACGTCCTCGGTGCGTTTCACAAACGTATCGCGTTGAAGTGCTTCCACTTCAAAGCAAAGTCCTCACCTTTTAAGACAATATGTTTTCACTGATGTCAGAGGGGGAGGGGGAAAGAGAGGAACATCCATGATGAGAGAGAATCACAGGGACCGGCTGCCTCCCGCACGCCCCCGACTGGGGATCCAGCTCACAGCCCGGGCCTGTGCCTGACCGGGAACGAAGCCATGACCTCCTGGTTCACAGGGCCGGTCCAACCACTGAGCCACGCTGGCTGGGCCCTCACATCTTCTCATGCTTTTCTATTCCATGCTGACTTCTTACTGTGGTTCTTCAAATATTTCCACATGGACAGCCTTTGCTTGCCTATAAACACAGGAATGCTAGCCACAGTCACTTCTATAAGGGAGTATGCATTAACCTTCCCCTCCTCCAGAACATTTGTCTCCCTCAATATTCCTTGATATTCCTTTTGTTACTGAAAAAGGGAAGATAAGAGTGTAAGTAAGAAATTACTTTCCTACTCACCCTAAAGCAAGGCCTGAGAGGCTGCTGGGGAGGCAGAGTGTGGGCGGAGCTATGGTGAGCCGGTGGGCAGCACCAGGCTCAGAGGCCACCCTCAGCAACCCCACTGCCATGCTGGAATGTGGGCCCTGGGTCGGCAGATCTTTTGATCTTTCAAGAGAGTGACTGAACACTGACCCATGAGCCAGGAGATCACGGTTCAATCCCCTCAGGGCACACGCCTGGGTTGCTGACTTGATCCCCAGTGCTGGGCGTGCAGGAGGCAGCCGATCCATGATTCTCTCTCTTCACTGACGTTTCCATCTCTCTCTCCCTTCCTCTCTAAAACCAATTTTAAAAACTATATTAAAAACAAACAAACAAACAAACAAACAACAACAACAAAAAAGAAAACAAGAGAAGCTTGAGTTTGGTTTTAAATCTCAAAATTTTAAATGGCAACTAATTCGAAAATACTTTTCTAGTCAAATGAAAATACATCAGTGGACTGACTACCTGTGAGTCTCTCTGGGCTGCCTTTTTTTGAGCTTTTCTCTAAGAGGTTGGTTTGTGAACAAGAGAATGGTATTTGAATAAAGTGTGGGAAGAAAGAAGATATATACACAAACATGGTGGAGTAGAACAAGAAAAAGCTGGGCAGACACATGTTTATAGCAAAAATGTTAAACTATTAGGCACTTAAAAAAATCTGTGGCATATTGATGTCGATGAGAATTCTGCTCCACACCGGCTCCTTGTTCTGTGTTGCTTGCACTGATGGGTTAAAGGATAGTGATTATTTATTTAAAAAAAAAAAGGTTAATGATTCTTCAATTTTAAAAAAATGCCAATGTTGAAAGCTTGTCTGAATTATAGAGTGCTCCTGTTTTAACAAAGAAAGCACAGAATTTTCAACTGTCCAGATCCCCTCTTCCTGCCCACCTCCGGAATTCTCAGAAGCACTCACTGTGAACCATTGAATATATCTTTATGGACAACCCCTCCTAAATGAAGTTATAAGAAATAACTTTAGTCTCATTTGGTTTGTTTACCAAGATTTTATTGATACTTATCTATAACAATTGACTAACCAATCTATATTTCCCCCCCACCCCAGAATTCTGAGGGTTAAAGTCGTGTTTGCATTAAGACTCTTGTTATAGTAATTAAAATAAAAAGATATATAGAACAGACTAACTTAAAACTCTGAAAACATAGAAGTAGGTGGTCACATGACCTAGTCTGATGTGTTTATTTTGACGGAGAAATAAATTTAGTCTGAGATTCCTTTCAAACCAAGACTCAAGACCATTGAGTGTTACCTTTTCCTTCCCAAATGACATCCTTAAAACCCCTTTTCAGTTAATATTGCTTCTTTTCTAATAGTGTCTCTTTTGATCTGCCTTTCAGAGAAGTCTTTGCTATCCGAACATTTTTTGTTTTGTTTTGTTCTGTTTTACAAAACAGCAACTCAAAGAAGAGAGTCCAAACGTTAGGAGCAGCTCCTGAGGTCTGCCTCGAACCAGCCTGCCGGCAGCATGGGGCCATCCGTGGGAAGCTGAGTGCCTTTCGCCTTATTTGGAGAGGTGTTTACATTTTCCAAGTCCAGAAGGGAGCAAACGTTTTATCTGAAGAGCCCGCGGAGAAGAGTTCAAAGTACAAGTAAGTGTCCTCTTTGAGGTCTCCCCCGGCCTCCGGCCTCCGTGGGGAGGGGGCGTTTCTGTGGGAAGGCTTTCCTTGTCGCACTGGGCGGGAGGGAAGAGCCTGGAAGGTTCCTGAGCTGCTCATGCTCAGACCGGTCCAGAGAGCGGCTGTCCCCACCGTGAGGAGCGCACAGACACTGATGGAATGAAACGCCTGGAGGCGGAGGCGGAGGCGGAGAACTGAGTTTTATAGTGACCACAACACCTGGGGAGAAGGAGAGCGCATTTTCAAAGCTCTTACAGTGAATGTTCCTGAGGAGTAGGACTTGGTCACATGGTGCATTATACCAAAGTGACCCTTGAACTTGGTGTATGTACATTCGAAAAGGAGTGGTGGTTCCATGATAGATTTATGTAATTTTTGCTTAGTGCAATGTATGGACCAAATAGATGCAGATCTTCTCATCTGTGTGTCCTGAAGTATTTAAGTGAAAGGTATCACATGGGATGGAACTAGCATGTAAGCATCTTTCACTTCTCAGCACTTTGTTCACGGAACCCTCACCGGAACTGAGAAATATGTTGTATGCGCTTCCGAGGGGAGGGGTCTGAGGACAAGGCCTGTGCTCACACACCTGGGGCGGCGGGTTCTAATCCCACTCCCGCCTCTCCCCAAAGCTGTCTTCCTGCCTCCCGACCGCCCAGCCCCGGCAGCACCCCTTGCTAATGGGCAGGTTCAGAAAACCCGCAATATCCTTACGGGGTCTGCCTGCTCATGGCAAGCACCTCAGCTTACGCCGTGAAACGAGGTAACTCTAT